AAACTCAAAACGGTTTAAAGAATATGCTTTATTATAAAAATGTTCCACTATCCATAAAACTATTAGCAGTATTTTATATTACAATCATTGGAGGAGTCAAAGTCAGGTCTTTGCTGTTCTTCTGTCCTTGATTGTGTCTAAACAGAGCTAGGTTATCATACTTTACAACTAAGTGACACTGATGGAATAACAGTAACTTCCAAATGATACATTAGTAATGTGTTATTTTTGTGTGTGTAATATCAAAACGAAAAGTAATGCTTGCACACCTAAGTAGTTTGCGTAGTCGCAAATAGAAACTTGGAAGCTTTGTTCTGTTGTGGAAATCCAAAGGCAATATGCTCAACAGAAGAATTTGTAATTCACAATATTAAACATAAAAATGAATGGCTGAATAAAAACATTTTGCTATGATTGCAAGTGCACCTCTTGGAATAAGGTTTGTTGGCAAAATACACTGTAGCAATAACCTACAAGCAGAATCACCCTCAAGGAGCTTTGTGGAGAACGTACAGTCTGTGTGGCTAGTCTGGCGCTGATAAACAGCCTGGGCCGTGGCTTATGGAATCTCACCCACTGAAAGCATCCCTTGCACTCGCTCCTGCCTGCCTGTGAAGCCTTCTTTCAGAAGGGTACAGGAATAATGATCGAATTTATGCATTTAATAGGCCAAATATTTTGGTGTTCTGTAACAATGGAAGAGTCTTAACAGCTGTGTGAATACTGCTTGTGAGAGAAGGACACAGAACTCAGGCAATTTAGAGTAAGGGGGATTTAATGTAAAGCTTTTGAGAAGGAAAAAAGGCAATGTGAGTCCATGAATGATGGTCAGCCTTTGAATCACCTGAATCCTATCCCTGTTTTAAATTGGAAAGATTGTTTTCCACAGAGCGAGTTTATGGATAAAGGAAAGGGCAAAATGTGTCTTTTGGTACAACGCTAAAGTGATATGCAGACAATGTTTATGTCAGGTCTTTTTCCAGGTGATTTTGGCACCGTTGTTGCCTTGTTCTGTCATCCCACAGACATCACTTCTACAGCTGGCTGAAGCATTTAGGACCTATATGGATGGCGCTGATGTTTTGTCACTGCAAACGTACTCAGGCTAGAGGTGAACAGGATTGGACCTTTGTCACTGCAGCCATGTCCCAGGATGTACTATAGTGCTAGTCTTGGGCTTCTCCAAAAATAACAGCATCGTGGGCTGAGATAAATCCTATTTTGAAGCTGGTAGGTAGACATGGTTCAGATCAACTTGGAACAGACATTGCAGCTGTCTGTCTACATGCAACATAAATTTTTTGCTGTTGTTGGCTGGGTGAACGCCACCAGGAGCAGACTCACAGACATTGCAGAGGTGTGAGCTTTACTCCTTGTGGCGCAGAGTGTCTCTGAAGTTAGACTTTCTTGTATCAGCTTTGGTTGCTTTTGAATTGGCATTGTGAAATCCTTACGCTAAACAGTTTTTCTGTATGCGCTTATGGCATACAGAAGCTGCCCATCTCAGAGTGGGCTCACGCAGTCAGTCCAGCAAGCTGCTCTCACTGAAAGAGTCTCCCACCTCTTTTAGATACTGGTTCCACGGGCAGATGCTCCTTGTGATGGAATTTGCTGCCTGGGGGAGCAAGTTTGGCATCAGGTGACAGCTTAAACCCTGTCTGTTTAAGGCAGAATTTTAGACCTGGTTTAGACCCCAGCCTAGCAGACACTTCACCATGCATTTAATTTAAAATAGAGCTATTACTAGCTTAAGTCTGGTTTGTGTCCACTCTGTGTTGTCCTGCTAACAGATTATGTGGACTCCACAGGAGCTCAGGCGAGCAATGGACGAGCTGTGGAGCTGGAAGTGCTATGGCCATGCTTCCACGGCACCCTGCTGCCTGGACTTGGCTGGCTTACATGCAGCCCAGCCACCTGTGCCACTGACCCACCTTTTCTCCATCATACCTTCAGTCTCCTTCACACTCTATATGCCTTCAGTCTAAATACTCTCGATGTAGTCTGTGGTTTTGTTTTATCCTTGGTATCCAAAACTACTTTCAGCTCATTTATTCAAAAGTTGACTGTAAACAGCTAAGTTGCACACACACATAATACAATATATATTGAATGTCTTTGAAACCTAAAGGTCTTAGGAGTGTACCCAAGTGCTCTGCTTATTTGTGACTATTCAGCATTAATGCTTGATTTGTCAGACAAGGTTAAACACTGGGCAAAAATGACAAAAAAAATAACTCTCTGTAGTGTACTTGCTATAGACATTCTCATGAAAAACTGAAATACAAGTTAAATACATACTTATTTTATTCCAGACTATAGAATAAGTGTATGTAGGCAGTTTTTCAAAGTGTATTGTACACTGCATGCACAATAAATCAGTTTAATAGCTCAACTGTTTTACAATTTGTGTTCAAAAAACTGTATGATAGGCAATGAGATCATGTTATGGCATGATTTGTTGTCCATTTGGACCATATCTACTTTGAAATAAAAAAATTTGGGAAACCCGAACTGATAGATGAAATGTATGTTAATCATTTTAATATGAGCATTTGCTCCAAGAAAGAAACTCCATGTGTTATGTTCAGTTTTTAAATCCCTCCAAACAGAGCATTTAAGACAAGAAATTTTGAACGTGATTTCATTGCAGTATTACACTGAAGATTGGTGTAACGTTTTTCAAAATGATGTAACAGTTCCCAAGTACAGATTTTAGAATCTTATGCTAGAAATCAAGATAATATTTTAGGGCCTGCACATTTAGCTTCAAAACTGTCCTTGGACGGATGACTTGTCTGTGTTGACAAGAACTTCTACCTGTGTGAAATATCTTATAAAGATAGCTTATGACTAGCAGGTCACCATCAAATAGTAACATTAAGAATATTCAAGTCTACATTTGTAAAGACTTATGCATGCAGTTTTGTCTCTTACACATTGTTTAGATGTGTGGACTAAACATATTGTGCCTCAAAACACCAACAAACTTGAAATTACACTGTGTAAATATATACATATATGATGCTTTATATGTTTAGTACCGCAGTAATTATAGCTGTAATCAGATGATACTAGACATATGTAGGACCATAAGTTCCAATTAAGAAAAAAAGCCAGAAAAGGTTATTTTTTTCTAACAGTATTTCACAGTAGAAGGAGGCAGTCTTTTCTCAACAAACTTCCCCCCCTCTCAGGATTTGTAAACATCGTAGGTATTATTCTATCAGTATAATAATTGAATATTTTATTCATAATGGTAAGTAGCTAACCAACATGAATAAAGTTGTCGTAACACAATAACACTTTCAGACAAAACAGGTATTTATTAAAAGAAACATTTATAAATATTTTGTCTTGCATTTTAAACTACATTTTCATAAATAACAATATTTAAAAGTGCTGAATATGGTAGGATAGTCAGCAACGCCACTGTAAACAGATTTGTTTTCCACTTTGCAGATTTTTTTTAGATCCCATTTTGTCAAACACTACAACAGTTAAAATATTTGCATAGGGAATAGAGAATAGCCCTTTTAATCATCTCCTGAATTCTATATAAATTACAAAACCAAATGAGTTTAAGAAAGAGTTCGTTAAATTGTTCGTATATATATCCAAAAAAAGCACACAGGTTTCAAGTAAAAAGAATGATTAAAAAATTCCCCAGACTCGCTTTTTGAAGCATGTTCAATAAATTAAAAAAATGAGAGGTAGTAAAACAAAGGAAAAAAATAAGCCCCCAAAGATAAACTAAGACCTGCATCCTACCAGTTCCTGTATAGCAGCACAACCCACCTCGGCAGCAACGGCTCCAGGGAGAGCCGGCACCGGAGGCTGCCTGCAAGGAGTAACTGGATGGTTGGAGCCAAGTGTGTTGGGGCTAGATTCCACTCAAGGACACAACTGCCAGACCTTCCAGTCCCACTGAAAGCAACGGGTATGCCATGTTTAGTCCTAGGTAAGTGAGAAGAACCTTGCTTCTAAAGTCTTAGTATAAGACCAGAGTTGTCAGTATTAAATATATATATACACATACATACATATATATATATTTAACAAGTATTCAAAGCCATTTCTCGGTATATCTTCAGCAGTTTGTGAGGGATGCTAATGTTCATTTTGCCTGTATATGCTAGGTATGAAGATGGGGATTTTTAAGTTCTGAGTCACTGTCTCTTTAAACATCAAAATGCATCCTAAAATTGGACTTTTTAATGATAAAAAGGCCAAGCAAACACTTATTAAAAAGACCACGGCAGCCAAGCGATGGGACCGTGCTGCCTTAGCTCTGATTAAGGGCTCAGTACAGGATTCTTTACCCAGGAAAGACACCTGATGCATTTCCATAGGCATTTTGCTTGGGTAAGGACCGTAGGTTTAGGAGCCCTTGAAGTTTGGTTTAATATTACTCTCCAAACCCCTTGTTTCAAGGAGTTATTCAAAATCAATGAGGCTAAAAGCTAAGTCTTTTTTAACCCATCACCTCCTAAAACATTACTTTGTTTAAAAACATTTTTTACTGGTTTTAGCTTTCAAAAAAAAAAATCTTACAGGACAGATGCAATTCATCAAAATGTTCTAAAATTCTCTAAAATGCTACATGTAGGCAATCTTTTATTAAATTTCTTTATTCAAAAAACTAAATTATCAAGCTATTTTGTTTTTTGTTTTTGTCTTTTTTTTTTTTTTTTGCTGAAGTACATAACATTATACAACAGTGTTAGAACTGGATAGCCAGTCTTTAATAAATCAATTACAGTATCTGACATCTGAAATGTACATTGAAAATCTTTGTTCTTTTAACAATTAAACAATATCAGCGCATAGACTGTGTCACCCAGATATGGATCCCTTTAAGAGGTTTGTGCTTTTTTTTCCTTCCTTTTTTTTTTGACACTGCAAACTCTTGTAATGAAAATGCCACAGTTTTGGCAGTGAACAACCAGAGGAATCCTCCGCTTGGTTTATTTTAAATAAACAGTGATAAATAGCTCTTTTTTTCTGTACAGAAATATTGGCTTCAAAAAGTCAGTGTATTGTACTCAGTAGAGCATGTTGAGTAATGCTACACCTTAAAAATTGGCTTTTTTCAGTTAGTGATGTTAAAAAATGCAAGCCTCTTTCTGGTTTGCTGCAATTGTTTCTATGTACCATAAGACTGTATTGCACAAAAAAAGTTCTTAAATACAGATATAATTTATGTTATTGGATTAAATATTGCAACAACTAAGTGGTAAGTGAAAGCAGTTTTACCTTGCACATGCAGTGTGAGGATACACAAGGAGACTGTTCATAAAACTACAAATACATCATTGCAATCTTGACTGCAGTAGGGTGAAAGGAGTGTGAAACAAATGTATTTTGGCAAATCCATTGTTCCCCTCCCACGCCATCTTGAGCAAGGAGGACCTTGGTAAAAATGTAGACAGAGACCATAATATGTATTTGTTTTCTTCACAGTAGCCTGAGTAGTGCTAAACTGTAGTTCTCCAGGAACCCAGCTCCAGATGTTATTAAACTACTTTTCTTCCACCCCACCCACCCAAAAAAAAAGTCAAGTTATTTTGTTTGAAAATTAAAACTAAGTTTCAGAAGTAGAGCCTGTAAGACTTTCAACAAGAGACTTATAAATCTGAGAGTTCAAAAACCTTGGAAAAGAGTCTCTGTGCATTAGGGTGTATATCTGAAGTTGGGCATCTTCATACATGTGAGGGCTGGGATCCAACAAGTTTCTGTTGATCACTTCTCTCACCCGGGAATCAAGACTAACCTGAAGAAGATGAGAACAGAACAATATTAAACAGCAATATTGAAAAAGCAGTTATACCTATCTTTATTTCTCAGAGCTCCACTGAACATGCTGAATTTATCAGTTTACTTAAGTAATGCTCTGTGCTTCTTTCAGAGCCACCACACCACACAATTACATACTGAGACCATCAACTCTGTTTCAATTTTGACTTAGTCTCTGCATCCATCTTAAGGTCTGTAAGATGAAATGTAGCTGTATAATAGAATAAATAGAGTGCAACTAAGTCAAGCTCTGCAGTAACTTCGATTTCACAAAATATTTTATCTTTAAAAAAAAGGTATTTATGTACATGTTTAAAATTATTTCTCTTAAATGAATGTTGAATGACACTTATTCAGAGAGCTGAGATTTTTGTTGTTGGTGGTTGTTTGTTTGTTTTTTGTGTGTGTGTGGGTTTTTTTCCCCCTCCCGGCCATTTGTGGTTAAATCTTTAGAAGTTTTCTATTCAGTATCTGGCTAACCTTCAGATTATTTTCCCATTTTCACTCAAAATTAGCAAGAGTTTTTTATAATTTTTATTCTGTTCATGTCCCCATTAATATTAACTGTTTCAGATTTGTTCTTCCTCTCAAGATTATTTAACATCTGGTAATTTATACTTTCAGGATATATGTCCATATTGAAGTTTTTATCAAGTTTCAATTTTAGCTCCTTGTTTTCCTTCCATTTGTAAAGAACTTCTGTGCCTAGGCAGAAAAGGGCATATTATGCTTGGGATGAATGCACAACTGATTTTAGAATATTATTTAGAAACTTGAATGAACATTCAGGTTACCCACAAAATGCTCTTAAAACCAGTAAAATTAATGTTTTCTGGATTAAGCAAAATGGCAGTAGCAGGAAAGCCCATTGGGGACAGCCAGTATTTACTCAGCTAAGAAGAAAAAGGCTAAAGCACTCAGTAGAGAATTACCAGGCACAGATTGGTTAAGCTACTGTGATTTACACCAGGTTACAATCTGACCCTACTACTCTGCAACCATATAAATAGATATTCATGTTGTCTGAAGGATTGAGTTCAACCCTGGAAAGCTCCACCTACCAAGATACCTTGATATGTGAAGGATGTGAATGCAGATGAAAACTCAGAATGTGTGGATGTGTGAGCTTGTGGTCAAGTCTTTGAAATACAGTGGTATGGTACTGAGGAGTAAATATACATTTTCATTATATCTTCAGTACCAACTGTAGAATTTAGCATTATTGGTTTATTGGCATACTGGAGTGTGTTACTGCCACAGCAAGCTCCTTCTCCTCCAATATCGATATCGACCGGCTGGAGCGAGTCCAGGTGAGGCCATGAAGATAACCAGAGGGATGGAGCACCTCTGCTATGGGGACAGGCCGAGAGAGTTGGGCTTGTTCAGCCTGGAGAAGAGAAGGGTCCAGGGAGACCTTATTGCACCTTCCAGTACCTGAAGGGGC